TCCCAGTTACTCTTTCCCTCCCTCCCTCCCTCCCTCCCTCCCTCCCTCCCTCCCTCTCTCTCTCTCTCTCTCTCTCTCTCTCTCCCTTTCTCTCCCTCTCTCTCTCTCCCTTTCTCTCCCTCTCTCTCTGTCTTGTGCTTGAGAATCAGATGAAAGCTCTCAGCTTCTGTACCAGAACCCTGCCTGCCTGCCTGCCTGCCTGTCTGCTGCCAGGCTCAACACCATGATGGTCATGGATGCTAACCTCCCGGAACCATGAGCCCCCAAATTAAATACTTTCTTTTATAAGTTGCCTTGGTTGTAATGTCTTGTCACAGCAATAGAAAAGTAACTAAGTCATCAGATACCTGGGAAAACATTATATCTGAATAAGGAGGTAGTTTCTGATAGATATTAGCATTTGATCAATAGACTAAGAGAAGAAAATCTGCCCTCATCAATGTAGTGATGAAGGGCCAAAAAGGCAGAGAAGAATCTATTTTAATGTTTGCTCAAGCTGACCTCAGATACAGAACTCCTGGTTCTGGGGATCTTTGGACTCAGTCTGAATTATACCGCACCAGATTTAAAATTGGGGGTAAGGAGACTTCTTGGCCTCCATAATTCTAATTATAAATCTCTGTGTGTATGCATCTCTCTCCCTTCCTCCATATGTCATATATACTATACAATTGCACTATTTATATGTACCATAGAGCATACATTTTATTACTATATTACCACTGCAGTGCTATGTATTTAATATATTTCTTCTGCGGTTTCCATTTGTCTGAAGAACCCTTACTACTATGCCTATGGAAGCTCCCCCCCCCCCACTATGCAGAAGTTTGTTATTTCAACCTAAACTGAAATGACAGCCGGAACTGGCAAGTTAGCTTTCAGGACTCTCAGTTTAAGTACATTCCTTTCATTTACTAAAAATGGTCCTTGTTTCAAAGCTTCATGCAGGACCTGGGCCAGTTAACTGCACCTCAACTTATGCTTACCAAAAGGGCATCAAGCCTAAGCAGGCTTCCTTTATTAAGGGGGTCCAGTGCTCCAAATAGATCATATACTTGACTGTACAATTCCTTTCCCCCATTGTCCTCCCGAAGCATCTAAGGTCCTAGTGTGTTTTCCCCCTAGGCAAACACTTGTCGGGAAGGGTTCTTGTAAAATCTTTTATCCAAAAAAAAAATGTAACCTACTGTGTTTAGTTTCTGGACTGCAGCAGATAACCCGAGACAATCAACTTATAAATTGAAAGGGTTTGTTTGGGATTATGATTTCAGAGATTTCAGTCCATAGTTTATTAAGTACATGGTGATGTTAAAACATCGAGGCAGGGAGCCTGTGGAAAAGCAAAACTGCCTCCCTCGTGACCAAAAGGAAAGGACCTATGGTCTCATGATATCCTTCAAGAGGGAGATAACATATAATCTGATGGTGATTCCAACACTCAGGAGACAGAGGCAAGAGGGTTACATCAAGTTCCAGTCCTCAGCAACATTTGTCAAGAGACAGAGAGAAAGAAAAACCTGAGGAAAGACATAACTTTTGGGTTTGTATATGCATGCATGGTCCATGTACAGGTATGTATATTCAATGTATTAGTACATGTATGTGTTAGTACATGTATGTGTTAGTACATGTATGTGTTAGTACATGTATGTGTTAGTACATGTATGTGTTAGTACATGTATGTGGAGACCAAAGGTTGATGTCAGTTATCTTCCTCCATCGTTTTGCATCTTATGCACCAAGACAGGGACTCTTACTTGAATCCAGGGCTCATCAGTTTCACTAGTCAGCTGAACAGCTTGCTCTGCAGATTCCCCATCTCCACCTCCTAACACTGGGGTTACAGGAGAGCTGCTGCACCTGCCTTAGGTTTGCATGGGTGTTGAGAAGTGAGTACCAAACTGTAATGATCTTTATGTCTGCATCTGATGTAAGGAAGACTGGATGGATGGAGGTAAGGTGGGCATCACTGAGCACTCAGTATCAGTGGGCATCCTTCCCAAGGTTCTAGCGTTACATGAGGCAGCTTCCAGAAGCTGCAGCAGCCTGTAACCTCACACACTTTTATTTGTCCACTCCTGCTGTTTGGAATGTGATTTCTTTCCCGTGCCCTTTCAAGTCTTAGCACTCCTTAGCCTTCATCTGCAAGTTCCTTCTTTGTGACATTTATTGAATCAGAGGTTTCTCCTTCATTGGAATCCTGCCCCTATAGATGCTCCCTCTCTCCTCTGCTCTTGTGATGAGGGAACTAGCTTCCTTCATCTACTAGAGTCTGGTACCTCTTAGCATCTCAAGCATCTACCCTGATGCCTAACACAAGGTTGCTCTCCATCTTCTCAGACTGATGAACACACAAATGGCACAGTGTGGAGGCTTTCTTTCTCAGCCACACTCTTCTATTTATTTGTTTTGTTGTTGCTGCTGCTTTCAAGGTAGGGTTTCTCTGTGTAGCCTTGGTTGTCCTGGAACTTGCTCTATAGACCAGACTGGCCTCAAACTCAGAGATCTACCTGCCTCAGCCTCCAGAGCGGAGTGCTGGGATTAAAGGTGTGTGTGTGCACCACCGCCCAGCTCTCAACCGTACTCTTGTAAAAAGTCAGATGGTGGTGAGTGGTAGCACACACCTTTACTTCCAGCAGTCAGGACACAAAGGTAAGTGGATCTCTGTGCGTTCCAGGTCAGCCTGGTCTACAGAGTGAGTTCCAGGACAGCCAGGGGTACACAGAGAAACCCTGTCTCGAAAAAGAACAAGGAAGAAAGGAAGGAAGGAAGGAAGGAAGGAAGGAAGGAAGGAAGGAAGGAAGGAAGGAAGGAAGGAGAAAAAAGTTCACTTGAGTTTTCCTGGATTGAATGACAACACAACAGAGCCAGCCAGTGATTTCTTCCCTCTGAGCAAGCAGTGCTTATCCTGGGTCTAATTTAGGTTCTGCTTTTCATGCTTTAAAAGGATTTTTCCCACGACAGACTCAAGACCTGAAGTCCTGTGTAGTCAGCACCACTACTGAAGGATGAGTGGTGAGAGACGCAGCCAACTGTGCTGACCCCTGACCTCCTTCTGCTTCCACACAGGGTTGGAGAGTTCTGCAGCCCTGAGCTTTGGCATTTCATTCCTAGTTCAATGGATGAGGCATGCCCATGTGGGGTACAGCCTCTGGACTTTCATGGGACGTGGGCTCGCACCTGTGATTGTTGTTTGGCTTGCTTTGGGTATATATAGCTTCAGTTGTGATTGTGGCAATGTTGAGTCTGTCACTGTGTGTGCCTCTGGTACAGGATTTATACGGGGAGTGTTTGTGCTCTGGGCACATTTGTGTGTGTGCTTGAATGGGCGAGCATTCTCATGGATGTTTTCTGTCTCCCTGAGTACCTCTGCCGATCGTATGGCCATCCAAAGAGAATGCCATCAGTCCTTTTGGTTCCCTAAAACAATGGCTCCTCCTTGTCCCCAAACCCTAACTTTGCCATTACATGAAACAGACTCCAGTGGGCTGACGGCTCTTCCTTCCCCTTCCTGAGAGAGGGTGAAGGAATGGAGGAAGCCCACACAGCCATAGCTAGGACATTTCTTTTTTCTTTCTTTCTTTCTTTCTTTTTTTTTTTTTTGGACATTTCTTCTTAATGCCATTTCATCGTCATGTTCTGTGCTATCAATGGGACTCCTAAGAGCAACAGGAGCCCTTGGCCTTCCATGTCCATGACATCATTTGAAAATTGTTTTGGGGTCTAGCTGCAAAGAGAAACAATCACTTGGGAAAGCCGGAGCAGTGGGAAAGCTGCTTCCCACTGTCCCACATCTCAGAACAGAACTGAATTGACATTCCCAGTATGGTTTACATTCTCTTCCTCTTTGCCTTCCTGTTCCCAACCCCTTCCAGGACCACTCTTCTGGTCCAGCAAATAGCCTGCCCCTATGTGCAAGGCCACCCTTGATGCTCTGGGAAGCCTGGCCCTCTCTGATTTGCCTCAACTCAGAATCGACTCTCTGTTTTCCCAGCATTTGTGTTTGGTTTGCTTCTGTTTGGTGTGTTGTCTTGGAGTGCTAGTGCCTGAACCCAGACTCTGCAACCCTTGGCTAAAGCTCCACCCCTGTACTTTGGCCCAAGCTCCCCATGCTCCCACTCCCAATACCCCACTTTACTACTGGAGCTGCCCTTTTGTCTCCTTCAAAGAACCAGGAAGCAACCAAACCCCAGGAAGCAGAGCTGGTGTTGACGGTTTCCCTTATGTGCCCTGCCTTCTTCCTCCATCTCTCTAACCTTCCACACACTCTCAAGTCCCCGTCCATAGAGTAAGAAAAAGATTGTTGGCTCAGACCTTCGAGAATTGGCTTTCCTTCCCAGCTCAGTCACCCCATTCTTCTCTGACCCTGCACAAGTCCCCTCAGTAAATCTGAGCAGCACTGTTTAGACAAGGAAAATACCACCCCCACTGCCTTCTGCTGCCAATAGCTTGCAGCGCAGCCATGAAGCAATGTTTCACAGAGACAGTGGAGACAAGCTTGAGTGGAAGAGAGGCAGGATATGTACCTTTTGATAGCACCATCTCTTTTTTGCTTGACCATGGCAACTCTTATAAAGGAAAAACATTTAATTGAGGTGGCTCGCTTACAGTTTCAGGGGTTTAGTCTGTTGTTATCATGGCAGGGAGCTTGGCGGCACACAGGCAGACATGGTACTGGAGAAGGAGTTGAAAGTGGAGAAGGAGATATATCTTTTTGTTTGTTTGTTTGTTTTTCTTTCTTAGAGACGGGGTTTCTCTGTATTGTTCTGGAGCCTGTCCTGGAACTCGCTCAGTAGACCAGAACTCGCTCAGTAGACCAGGCTTGGTCTCAAACTCACAGAGATCCACCTGCCTCTGCCTCCCAAGTGCTGGGATCAAAGGCGTGCACCACCATCACCTGGCAGGAGCTACATCTTGATCCCTCAGGCAACAGGAAGTAGTCTGAGACACTGGTTGTGGCTTGAGCATATATGAGACTTCAAAGCCCACCTCCACGGTGACACACTTCCTCCAACAAGGCCACACCTACTCCAACAAAGTCACACCTCCTAGTAGTACCACTCTGTATGAGCTTGTGGGAGCCAAATACACTCAAACTACCACAGCAGGTCTCCTCAAATATGTCACCCTTGATGACTCCTAGACACACTTTCTTTCCCTTCTCTGTCATAGGACAAAGCCACCCTTCCCAAAGATGCCTACCAGGATGAGTGGGAATCCTTTGGCAGACCAAAGTAAAACCCACTCCTTTTGTGAGGCTGGGAATCTTCTACCCAGAGGCAGGGGATGGATCCTGGCCACTTCCTCATCAGTATGCCTAATGAAACTACAAGTCAGGTAGGTGCCTGGGGAACACTGTATGAATGGTCGTGGGAAGCTGGAAGTCCAGGTGACTGCACCCCCACCAGAAGGATCTTCTTGTAGTGATTCAAGATCAATCACTTGGGTTGAATGACCCAAGGAAAACCATCTTCCTTCTATTTTCCATTTATTTCTCAAAGAGAAGAGTGTTCCCTCCCAACTAGAAAATAGGATGCCCTATCTCATCTTGAGGGTGGTGGATTGACATTTTCCCCTACACATGACTTCCTTGAAAACAGGAAATGTGTCTTTGTCCCTCTGCCCCAGCGTCTCCTGCTGGCAAACTGGATGCTGAGCATCCAGATAAGCCTTTGTTCCCCAGGAAGGTTCACCTGCCTTAACTGGAGGAGAGGCCTTCCTCATTAGTTTGCTCTCTGCCCCTCTAAGCTCAACCTACCACCTTTCCCTAGAAGGGTAGAGAAGGAAATGCAGTCTATTAGGAGTGGTGTAGCCCAGGGCTTCCTCCTGCACTTGTACCTCTTCATCACAGACACTCTGGTCTTGTTTGCGCCTTCCCTGAAGAAGAGGGAGAGAGCGGACAAGAGGCCCAAACAGCATGGCTGATCTGCCCTTTCTTCTGCTGTCTCCCCTCTCCATAAGCCACGCCACGACTGGAAAGGTGAGGAAACATTTCTCCACAGGAGACGGGTGCCTCTCCATATGTTCTTTTCCCTCACTGGTTTGCTTCCCTCCTCCCTCCTTCTTGGACAGAGACCTAAGGATTCCTTTCTGGGCTTTGGCTATGGCTGTGACCTTTCCCAGGACTTGGGAGGAACTTCTCTGATAGTCATTGTGTTCAGTGACTCTTCAGAGACAAAAGCAAGGATTTGTCTTCCTGCTCAGGAATTGAAGGACCAGCTCATTTGTGTGTGTGTGTGTGTGTGTGTGTGTGTGTGTGTGTGTGTGTGTGTATGTATGTATGTGCGTGGAGGCCAGATGAAGGTATCAGGCCTGCTGGAGCTGAAATTACTTGCAGCTGTGAGCTAACTGGTGCAGGTGCTGGGAACTAAACCTAGGTCCTTTGGAAGAGGAGAAAGTGCTTTTAACCATTGAGCCATCTCTCTATCCCTACAAGGGCCAACTCTTGGTCCCTTCTTCCACTGATGAACAGGATCTAAAAAAGAAGGAACAGGCTGGAGATGTAGCTCAGCAATAGTCCTACTGAGCATGCTCGTTGAGTCCTTGGCTTCCATCTCCAATATGCAAAGTTAAGTTAAATTAAAAGCAAAACATAAGGCACTTGTAAAAAACTTTGTCAACCCATTCCCACTATGATAGAAAATTCTGGTCCCAGGCCACCTCTTGGACATGTACCTCTTGTTTCCTAAGAATGGAAACCTTTTCTCTGCCTCTCCTTCATGCAAATTAGAGTTATCTTCGCCATGTGATGCAGGGCACAAAATGTCTTCTCTTAGGGCTTCTTCACAGCTCTACTTCACCTTGCTGACTCCAGGGAGAGGGTAATCCATTGTTGAGCCCATATAGGACAGAGCAGAAGGTGGTGCTGTCACAGTCAGGCTGGGCGTGAGGACAAGTGACTCTGGCAAAAGAGCCCTCTCCCCTGTGTCTGTGTGTGTGTTAGGAGTCAGCCTCTGTGTAGGATTGTGAGTGTGCCTGGGTTTCTTCCTTGTGCCTCTGCATTTAACTCTGTAAGCTGCTGGTGTTGGATCTGATCTTCAAAACCTGTTTTAGAGCCAAGTGTGATAACCTGTAATCTCAGGTACTGATGAGACCTTGTCAGGAAGATTTCAAGACCTGCCTAGGCTATAAAGTGAATGCAAGGCCAACATGGGCCACTTCATGAGACCCTGTGTTGAACTAAACAGTAAAATGAAGGCTGGGGATATAGCCCAGTAGTAGAAGGCTTGCCTAGCATGTGTGAGTCCCCATGTAAAAAAGGAGGGGAAGGGAAAACTATTTAGAGAACTTTTGTTTTCAATAGTAGGCCTCAAGTGTCCCAGACTGGCATCAAACATGGTGCTTTGCCAAGAACATCCTAAGCGTCTGACCTCCTGGTGGCTGGGATCACAGGTGTGTGCTGCCGTTTCTCGTTTATGTGATGCTAGATAGAAGCCCTGTTTTGTGAATGTCATAACCCTGGCCCCTAGCTGTTGTTCACAACCCACCTCCATCCAAACGATAAACACAAAAACCACTATTCAGAAGCCACACATACATTCATCCAATCACTAAAGGTAAATAGTCACTGCAGGATCTAGAAGAGAGAGACAACTGAAGGGAGAAGGAGGTGGCCACTCAGCCTTTCCTGCTCCCAACAAGTTCTTTATTGACTTTTGTTTTTGAGACAGAGTATCACTGTGTAACCCAGGAAAGCCTAAAATTTAGGATCTTCTTACTGTAGCCTCCCAAGTGCACTAATTACCAGCCACCACACCCATCTGCTTCCAAGAACCTTGAAGCAACATGGATAGATTATGAGTGGTAGAATGTAGACGCTTCATGTGTGCCTGGAAGTATATCTTAGAGTTAGAGGATATGCTTAATGAGAGTGAGGTCTTGGGTTCAATCCCCAGCATCAAAAACAGAAAACACAGATGTGTACTCTCTATACCCTCCTCTAATACATGTGGTCTTAGACAAGGTACAAGGCCACAGTCACACAAGCCTTCCCTGGTTTCTTCCTGCTGTGTCATGTAAACACATGTGCAAGCACCCAGTCTTGATGTTCATGGGCCCGCAGCTCCTTCTCACCAGGAGGGACAAAGTCTCCTACTCTTAGAACTTCTGCCCATCAGTGGCTACTGCCTCTGCTGGCTCTACTCACCACCATTGCTATTCTTCCCTACTCAGAACCCACACCTTAACCAGTGACCTGGGGGTCCACCCCCAGCATCTCAGGGGCCCACACTCACTGATTGCTTCCAAGGGCACAAAATAAAGGTCATGGGGGACTGAGGGCCTGAGTAATGCTCTCTCTGGGCAATGTATGTGTCTACCCAGAGTTGGACGACCTCTACAGAACAAGCAATGCTAATTCCCCAAGGCCCAGCCATTGGGATGGCTTCCAGAGCAGCAGGCCACTGGCCTGCAACCCCCAGCTGGCTACCAAAAGTGATAGTGAGGGTGGAAACAGACATGTTGTCTGGGGAGAGAAATGTAGCAATGACTTCCAAAACTACAGATGCCTACGCCTTGTTTATATATAGCAATTCTGTTCACAGACACGTTTACAAATACATTTACACAGGTGTGAAAGGACTGGGGAGCTAATTATACACTACAACATCACCTATTAATAAAGACAGGATGCAAATCAGGTATCCATTAGTAGATAGCTAAGACAGCTAGTTTTATGTATTATCTCCATTCATAAAAGAAATGGGCATCTTTTGTGTGTTAATCTAGAAGGACCATAAGCTAGTTCCGTATAGTTATGTTAAAATTTAAGAGTACAGGATGAGGTATATTTGTGAGGGAAAAGGTGGTTAAACGTTTTTCTTCTTTTTTTTTTTCAAGACAGGGTTTCTCTGTACTATTTTGGATGCTGTCCTGGAACTCGCTCTGTAGACCAGGTTGGCCTCGAACTCACAGAGATCCACCTGCCTCTGCCTCCTGAGTGCTGAGATTAAAGGTGTGCGCCACCAACGAGAACGTTTTCCTACTGAGTTGTTTGTACATCAAATGTTATTGGAAGAATTAATAAGATCCAATAGTAGTTACTTCTTGAGTTGAACAGTGGGGTGAGAACAACTTTCTGTCATATATATTTTCTGTATTCTGATGGTTGAATAATGGGAATACATTTATCTGTTAAAAGCTTAAACAAATTTCCAAGGAAAGCACAGTGGGAGCATCCTAAGGCATGAGAGGAGAAGAAAATGCCAAAGATGAAGGAGGCACAGTACATAGTTCTCTGCTGCCTCACAGGCTTGGAGAACAGGGGTCCAACACGTTTATTCTCACAGTGTTTGATTATGGAACTACACACAGGCATGCTTTTAAGGTTTGGGGACTCTTCGTCTTTTAAAATGTAAACATTTTTGCATGCTTTCTTCAAGTAACAAGGTCATTCACTAAAATGGTGACAGCCTTTGAACATGTCTTGGGACAACTCTCATTCCCCAACCTTCTCTGATGTCCTGGGGTAAAAAATTGCCAAATGGCATGTATTTGTTTTAGAGATTGCTTGTGGGGAATCTTATGACACCCCTTTGTGATAACTGGCAGCGCTCTGGGGTGTTGCAAAACACCAACTTGGGTGCAATCACCCTGATGATCAGCAAGCAGCCACAGCCAAATGCAGCCTGCACCATGCTGGCCTGCCTGGGACAGGGGAACAGAGGGGAGCTGTGAAAGCTACATGGGTTACTTCATGGGACAGGGAAAGCATCTGCTTGTGAGCCCCTGACAGTCCTGCTCATGGGTGAGTGAGCTGCTGGGTCCCTGGGAGCCCAGCCGGTCCTTTTTCCTCAGGGATAATTTTAGGTTTTCTTGTCCCCTTCCAACCTCTGACTCCCAGCCCCAGGCTCAGCCTCCCAGAGGGATTGCCTAGACCAGTGACTATACAGTGTGCTTTTGAAATACAGGGTTGTTCAAAGGCACATGCCAGGGGGTCACCCTGGAGGCATTTTCCACTGTACTTTTTTCTCTTTTGTCCCATTGTTCCAGGGGAGACAGCTTAATGGTCAGTCTTGACAGGCAGCACCAACTCTAGGATTACATGTGCAGACCATCACTGCAGGCTTCTTAATTCATAGGTCCTGGGAATCATCGAATGAATTCACAGAACTCTCGTTATTCTTCTGTTTACTCAGCAAGCACTTCACTGACTGTGCTGTCTCCCTAGTCACCAGAGGCTTATTTCTAAGCCTTTCATTCCCAACTGTTTTAAAGACTGGGTGCCTGGAAGGCAGAGTCAGGCCTTATAAATCTGGGTGAGGGGAGGGAGCAGGTAGGCACTGGTCTTCCAGGAAGGGAAGGTACTATATAAGAGACTTCAGAGGCATTAAATACCAAGCTTACCCTTCTACAAACTCTGGCAATGCACTGTAAGGGCCTAGAGAGATGACTCAGGAGGTAAGAGTGTTTGCTCTGCAAGCTTGAGGACCTGAGTTCAAATCCCCAGCACCAAGGAAAGAGTTGAGCATGGCTGCACATGCCCATAACCCCAGCCTCTGGCCAACAGAGACAGGTGAATCTCAAAAGCTCAGGAGCAGCCATCCTAGCCAAAACCAAGCTTTCTGGCTGAGTCAGAGACCCTGCCTTGAGGTAATAAAGTAGAGGAAGACACGCAATGCTCTCACACATTCACGTGCACACAAAGGAATTCCTCTATTTCTTAGGGATAAACCTCCAAGAAGTTGATGAAAATTCTTTATCATAGGGAAGGTGACAAAACATTTTTTTTTGAGAACTGAGGATGGTACTAGATCAGTGTTTCTCAGCTTCCTCATGCTAGGACCTTTCAGTTATGGTGACTCCCAACTCTAAAATTATTGTGTTACTACTTCATAACTGTAAGTTTGCTGCTGTTATGAATCAGAGTGTAAATATCTGATATTCATTCAGGACATCTGATATGCAGCCACTGTGGGGGTCACGACCCACAAGTTGAGAGCACTAGACAAACTTTAGCCTCAAACCTGCTTCTCTCTCCTTTTCCCTCTCTCTCCTCCTCTCTCCTCTTCTCTCTTTTCCCTCTCTCTCTCTCCTCCTCTCTTACCTCTCTCTCTCCTCCTCTCTCTTTTCCCTCTCTCTCTCCTCCTCTCTCTTTTCCCTCTCTCTCTCCTCCTCTTTTTTCCCTCTCTCTCTCCTCTCTCTCCTCCTCTCTCTTTTCCCTCTCTCTCTCCTCTCTCTCCTCCTCTCTCTTTTCCCTCTCTCTCCCTCTCTCTTATTCAGTGCTGATCCTCAGGCATGCTAAGTATGTGTTCTACCCATGAGCTACACCCCGAGTCCCCATTCTTCATTTTTGGTGTGTCTTTATTACTCCAGAATTTGAATGGGGCCTATCTAGAACTTTTCTAGGAGAAATGTGGGTGGGAGGAGCAGTGCAGGAGGGAAATGGAGACCAGGAGCCCTCAACATCCCAAGCTACACGATGCCAGGTCAAATGAATGACTCTTGAGACAGGGTGATGTCCCAGTAACTGGAAAAAAAAAAGAGTGGAGGGGATCAAAGGGTGAGCAAAATTGAAGACAGGAAAAGGGACAGACCTCGTCCACTGGGAGAGATAAGGACATCGGCCATATTGCTTCACAGATGAGACCTTAGAGTTGGGAGTGGTGGCACACAGGGTTGTAATCCCAGCACTGGAGAGGTTGAGGCAGAACGATCTGGGGATCCAGACCATTCTGAACAACACAGGAGATCCTATCTCAAACAATAAAATACCTTAGGGATGGCATCGGAGAAGAAGAGGGGCTACCTTGAATGGTTTTGCTGTCTCGGGAGAGGGTCACCTTCCTTGTTGGGCAAAGGGTAGGGTGGGAGGCTCTCCCTTCCTTTGCAGGGTTGCTGCGGGCCATGCCAGGAAAGAGCTGCTGAGCTCCAGGAAACCGGTGCTGAGGGAGTGCCATGGCAGATGTCCCTCTCTACCCTCCAGTTCCCTCCAGAGGCCTCTCCTCTCCTGACTATTGGATGCTGTGCCTTTAAAAGCAGCCACTCCTCCTGGGATCTAGGGTGTGGGGGTTGAGATGGAGGGAAGCTGACAGACTTACCCCAGCAACTAGGGAAGATGGCCCAGGCTGGAGGAGTCGTCCTGGAGTCCTACTGTCCCCTACCCTGAGCCAGGGGGTCAGGGGGAACTTTCCCACCCCAAGCGCGACACGAGATGGCTCCGTGGCCCCACAAGAACAGTTCTCTGGCTTTGTGGTCAGATGCCCCCACGTTGGACCCCAGTGCAGCCAACACGAGTGGGTTGCCAGGAGTGCCATGGGCAGCGGCATTGGCTGGGACATTGTTGGCGCTGGCCACAGTGGGAGGCAATCTGCTGGTAATCGTATCCATAGCCCGCACGCCGAGACTCCAGACCATAACCAACGTGTTCGTGACTTCGCTGGCCACAGCTGACTTGGTAGTGGGACTCCTCGTAATGCCGCCGGGGGCCACATTGGCACTGACTGGCCATTGGCCCTTGGGAGCAACTGGATGTGAGCTGTGGACGTCGGTGGACGTGCTCTGTGTAACCGCCAGCATCGAGACCCTGTGCGCCCTGGCTGTGGACCGATATCTGGCTGTCACCAACCCTCTGCGTTACGGCACTCTGGTTACCAAGCGCCGAGCCCGGGCGGCGGTGGTCCTGGTGTGGATTGTGTCCGCCGCGGTGTCCTTTGCGCCCATAATGAGCCAGTGGTGGCGCGTAGGGGCGGACGCCGAGGCTCAGGAGTGCCATTCAGATCCGCGCTGCTGTTCCTTTGCCTCCAACATGCCCTACGCGCTGCTCTCCTCCTCCGTCTCCTTCTACCTTCCGCTGCTGGTGATGCTCTTCGTCTACGCTCGAGTGTTCATCGTGGCTAAGCGGCAACGGCGTTTGCTGCGCCGGGAACTGGGCCGCTTCCCACCCGAGGAGTCTCCGCAGACTCTGTCGCGCTCTCCGTCCCCTGTCACAGGCGGGACAAGCGCAGCTCCGGATGGAGTGCCCTCCTTAGGCCGGCGGCCAGCGCGGCTCCTGCCGCTCCGGGAACACCGCGCCCTGCGCACCTTAGGTCTCATTATGGGCATCTTCACTCTGTGCTGGCTGCCATTCTTTCTGGCTAACGTGTTGCGCGCCCTCGCGGGGCCCTCTTTAGTACCCAGCGGCTTTTTCATTGCCCTCAACTGGCTGGGCTATGCCAACTCCGCCTTCAACCCGCTCATCTACTGCCGCAGCCCGGACTTCCGTGACGCTTTCCGCCGTCTTCTCTACAGCTGCGGTGGCCGCGGACGGGAGGAGCCACGCGCTGTCACCTTCCCAGCCAGTCCCGCGGGAGCCACCTCAGCCGAGTCCAGGCAGAGCCCGCCACTCAACAGGTAGGGGACTCAGGCACAGAAGCCGGAGCTCCGGGTGGGGACACTCTCTGCCTCTACTTTTGAGTTTGGGGGTTGAGGCGGGGGGGGTAGAGTGGAGGGGTGGACAGGGCCTTTTGCCTAGAGAGGACAGAAAGAGAGCAGGACCTAAAATGCAATCTAGGGTCCTTCCCTTTCTTGGATCCAGTCCCTGGGGCTGAGGCAAAGGGGAGGGCTGGTCGCTCACCCTAGGATCAGGTGAGCCAGCCCCACAAGCAATTGCTGCTCTGCCATCGGGTTTCTGACCTCCCTGGTCGCCTCTAGTTTGGGTTTTCTAGTTCCTTTCTTTAGCCACCCAGATTCCAGCAATCTCTACACCTGGCTGGGACTACCACAGATAGTAGCGGAGTTCCCAACCCCTCGACCTCAGTCCCAGTTTCTCCCAAAGGTTTGACTATGAAAGTGAGCAGCGATTTCCCACATGAAGGACCACCAAGATCCAGCAAGGAACCTGTGAGTTGACATCTGAGCTGCACCCCTCCCTCAGAGACAGGGTTGGAGCTATAGGGTGGGATTTGAGGGGGGTGGGGAGTACTGGATGGTCCCTTTGGAAAGTATAATAATGCTTCTCAGGGCTCCTCAGTCACTGCCCCCTCCCCTCCGGTGCTTGGTCCCTCCGCCTTGGCCAGTTACCGCCCCCCCCCCAATATTATCTCCATTTTGCAGGACTTTTGGAGAGTATTTTTGTTCGTTTATTCATTTGTTTTATCTTGTTTGCTTTTTTGCCAGAAAAACAAGAAACGACTCCGTGGATGCCGGACTTTAGTAAAACCCCTAATTTCCACTCAGAGTGGGTCCCGCCCCACCTCCGCGGCTGAGAACCTCCACTCTTAGAGCCTGCTGACTAGACTGCAGACGTGAAGGGGAACTCTTACCAAGTGGGTTTCACCGTTTTCTAAGACCCACCTTGAACTTCACCACTACCTCAGCAGTTGGGGTGTCAGGCCTCCTGTGCCCAGCTGCCCTTCGAGCAGCCCTATGACTCTGGAGGGACGCCCATCGCCCTGCTTCTGTGTGTGCTGCGTGCTGAGGGCAAAGAAAGCAGCCTACCTACCTCCCTTCTTTCTGCTTTCCTGACCCCAATAAGCGGCTGTGATTCTCTAGGCTCTGGGTCTCTGGTTAGTTTGAGGGCAAGAAGCCAGGAAAAAAAACAATAGAGTTTGAGGTTTTGTCCCTGGCTCCTCGCCATGGCTCTGTAAGCACCGTCTTAGAGCATCGCTCCCATCCCGCACCAAACAGCTCTGATCTACCTCACTGTCGGGTCATCAAGGTTTGGGGGAATTCCAGGGTTCATAAGAAGGTGAGCCATTGGAATGGGTCCCTTTTCCATTTAAAATCAAATTAATAAATACTACCGAATGTCGTTTGTCCTTTGCTCTCTTCTCTTTCCATTTGTTTTCTTTTCATAACCCACTTGCTGGCTTCCCTGCTCAGAGATGCCTTTTGACAGGGGCAATAAATTAGGAATAATCCTTGCCCCTCTCTTCCTAATCCTCCTCAGACAGAACCAAAAAGTCTGTCTGTGTAAACGGGACTGTCGAGTCTTTGCTTCTCCTTCCTCCAAACCCTTTCTGAAACTTCTGGGAGCTCGTCATGCATGACTCATCTGTCTTACTAGGGGAGGGGGCTAGCTGTGTCCAGGACCAGGAATCTTCCATACCATAAATTAATGTGGGTTAATACGGTCTCGTTGACATCAGCAGACACTCTGGATCTGTGTGTGTGTGTGTGTGTGTGTGTGTGTGTGTGTGTGTATCTAGAAGTACAGGGCACTGGTTTAACAAGGGGCAACAGGCCCTATGTTATATAAATAGATTCATGTATGTGTTTCTGTACCCTCTAGAATTATTATTCTAGAGGATAATAATTTCTTATTATCAGAACTGGAGTCACAACTGTCTGCTCATACTATTTTTCCTCATTTCGGTCTTTATAACTCTTATCTGACATGTTTCTCATGGGGGAAAAATCTATGGAAATCACTGGAGTATTGTGCAGGCTCCCCTTTAACTCCACGAGCAAAGACCATGAGCAGGCTGACTTTCAGGACAGCCAGTTAATCAGCAAATGTTTAGCATGCCTGTGGCATAGCGGGCCTTGCATTGGCTGGGTTTGGGGGCTCTAGAGATACAAAACCTCACATTGCCCACGAGATAAGCTACATGCATTTCCACATATGGGTGTTCCCTGTGAACTGGACCTCGTCTGTGCAGCTCCCTTTTCTCCTAGAGCGCAGGTTTTATTTCTCAGGATGTTTGCATACCAGAGATGACTTTCTCCTTCCCAACTCAACACAGTATGAGATCTCTGGTGTCTGAATGCAGACGGTTTCTTGGCAGGGTTTCTGCTTTTGAACTATGGCCCTTAGTAAGGAAGTCTTGGTTGAGCCCGGGGATCAGAGGGCCTCTTCTCTACATCTCTGGATATTTTCCCAGCATCTCTGAGAAAAGTTGCCCAGGCCTCTAGGAGAGGGTAACTTTGGGGTAGAGGGTCTTTGGTTTATAGAATTGTCCTTGAAGAGTGTCCAGGAGCTCATACTGCTTGTCTCGCTGGACACATATGCATGTGCCGACTGTTAGCCTCCTTTGGAGTGTTTAGGCTTGAGCTAGGCTGTGGATTCCGTCTGCAGATTGTCACCAGTGGGTCTGACAGCTGAAGAGACAGCCTTTCTAGTCCCTTCTCCAGCCAGGTGTCAAGCTGAAGGAGATTTACATTCTTGAATGGGAGGCAAACTGCTTTTGCAAGCACGAAGCCCAGGCGCTTGAACAGGGGAAGACAAACAGCTACGCTATGAGCCTAAAGATGTGAAGACTTGCAGACCAGTGAGAAATGGAGAGTTCTAGAAGCCCTGACCTCCAAGAGTCTGGGGGTAGGAGAGAGTGTGGGACTGAAATGACAAAGAAAAGGGGGTTGAGTTGAACAGGAGAGCTCTTGGGCGAAACTGCAAAGGAGAAAGCTGAATTGGAGAAAGAAGGGTGTGGTTAATAAACTTTTCTGGAACTCTTCCCGTGGTAGATTCTTCTAGGCAGTGATGGGTAAGTGTAGACTGTGGGTCTCATGGGCAGTTACTAGACTAATTCCATACTGACTTCATTCCTCAAACCTGTGGAATAGAGACCACTCCCCCGCCCACCCATTCATGCCAAAGAAAGTAAACACTTGTAAGAGGAAGAGAGAGGGTCTAACTCTGCAGCCAAGGCTGCTATAGAACGCATGGTCTTCTATCCCAGCGACCCTAATCCAGAGATTTGAGGTGTGCACCACCATGTCCTGTATTAGGATGGCATTCAATCAAGCCTTTTTAAACCATAGCCTTGTTACACAGACACAAGAAGTGTTAGGCGCCCCCTGGTGGCAATATGATATACAACAGGAGTGAAAAGTTCGGCTGTCTAGTTATAAATTTTCAAAGCTGAAAATCTCCTGTAAAAAACTTAGTCCAACTAGGTGTAGTGACTGACACACCTGAAATCTCAGCACTCTGAATGATCTCCAATTCCAGGCATTGGTTGCACAGCAAGAAAACATCTCAAAACAGAAAAGAAATAATTTAGCTCAATCATTTGATTTAAAAAAAATGAATAAAGAACCTACATTCTTTCTCGTACAAGGGATGTAGCTCTGTGACTCGATTGCTTACCTAGCTTGCCTGACACCCCCGGTTTGAGTCCCAGCACCACAAAAACTGTACATGGTGATGCATATCTGTAATCCCAGCACCGAGGAGGTGGAGGCAGGAGGACCGGGAGTTCAAAGTCATCTTCTGATATAGAGTGAGTTGGAGACAAGCCTAGGATACCTAAAACCCTGTCTCAAATATATATATATATATATATATATATATATATATATATATATATATATATTAGAGTAGTGAGCAGAGTAACCAAAATTTCTTCAGCTAAGCAAGCTTCAGAGCCAGAAAGACAGACACAGAGAGAGAGACAGAGAGAGAGAGAGAGAGAGAGAAGTGCACTTTACATGCTATGCTAACAAATCACAAAAAAAAAGTTCCACAGGAATCACATTGTATCTGAGGTTGATCCTACTCGGTGTTTGTTCTCTCTCTCCCCCCTCTCTTTCTCCCTCCCACTCTCTTCTTTCTCTATTTCTCCTCTCTCTCATCTGAGCTGACAATGCTCCTAGCAAGAGTCATAGACCATCTGATGAAATCCCCAATATCAGACACGGGAAGCCCTCTTTTGAATCGTTGGGTAGGGCTAATAGGGTCTCAAAACATACAGTCTATTGCTACTGCCTTTGGTTATCCTGTTTTAATTACTGTTCTATTGCTGTGCAGAAACACCTTGACCAAGGCAACGTATAAAAGGAAGCAGCTAATTGGGAGCTTGCCTACAGTTTCAGCGGGTGAGTCTGTGGTCATCATCCTTTGAAAACACCACCCATGTATGTGATGTGTTTTGTCCCTTTTCAACCACCTGCCACCCCTGCCCCCCCACCCCCGCCCTCCTTCATCCCCCTCCTATTCCCACTGGACTGTCTTCAGCAACTCTCCCTTTTACTTCTCCTTCTTTTATAGTTTGTTTGTTGGATTTAGTGACTCATGGAGTATAAATGAGTTCTTTGCAAGAGCATGGGTGGGAGATTATTACATGGGCAAATTATCAGTGGCCACATCACTGAAGAAAATCACCCCTCCATGGCCCCAGCATCAGCTCCTGCCTGCAGTTACTCAAGACAGAAAACAAGCGTGGTCTCCCTGCTTCTCTTTCAAGTGACCCTTCCTCTCAGGGTTCAAGTCTGAGTCTCACACTGGGCTGCAATCTCACAACCACACCGGGAGAGCGAGGAGGGCGGGGAGCTGCTCTTCCGGGGGGGGGGATGCCTATCTCTCTGATGAGGGCTAAACGTACACAGCTGATGGACATCCCTGTTTGAACTTCCTCAGGACTCCCTCAGCACTGGGGCTAGAGAGGTGCCTCAGCAGTTGCTGCCTTGCAGAGGACCCAGGTTCAATCCCCAGTACTCACATGGTGGCGGTAGTTCACAACCATTCACACGTCGAGTTCTAGGGGTCTGGTGCTTTCTTCTGGACTCTGTGGGTACCAGGCACACACATGGTACACACAGACACATGCATGCAAAACACTCACACACAAAAATAAATAAATAAATAAAGCGAAATTTGTTGTTGTTTGTTTGTTTTTAGAGACAGGCTTCTCTGTAGTTTTGGAGCCTGTCCTAGAAATTGTTCTATGGACAGGCTAGCCTTGACCTCACAGAGATCCACCTGCCCCTGCCTCCAAAATGCTGGGATTAAAGGTGTGTGCCACCACCACCCAGCCTAATTTTTAAATTTTAATTTAAGTGCATTGGTGTGAAGGTATCAGATCCCCTAGAACTGGAGTTACAGACTGCTGCAAGTTGCTATGTGGGTGCTGGGAATTGAACCCAGGTCCTCTGAAAGAACAGCATGTGTTCTTTTTTTTTTTTTTTTTTTTTTTTTTTGGTTTTTCGAGACAGGGTTTCTCTGTGGCTTTGGAGGCTGTCCTGGAACTCACTTTGTAGACCAGGCTGGCCTCGAACTCGCACTCACAGAGATCCGCCTGCCTCTGCCTTCGGAGTGCTGGGATTAAAGGCGTGCGCCACCAACGCCCGGCCCAGCATGTGTTCTTAACCACCGAGCCTCCAGCTCCCAAGTAAGTAAATTTTAATTCAGATATTAAAACAGAAGGGAGACAATGGGAAATAGGAGGAAGCCAGAGAGGACATGAGACCATAACAGAGAGTAGATATAATCCATGAACGTGCATGAAAAGTCATATCGTAATCCATTACTTTGTACAACTAACATGGTAATAAAAATTTCTAAAATGTTATGATAGTAAAGTTTGTAATCTACTGTTTGGGGACCTGTTGAGGCAAGGGCTTGATGGACTCAAGATTCTCCAACCCCAGATTCCCAAGTGCTGGAATTCCTGTCTTCCTGCCTGATCCTACTGTAAAAGCCAATTTCTCCAATCTTTATATTAAACCGTGGGGCCCAGAGAGATGCAAGGTGCTGGCAGTTTCCTGGTGTAGCAAGCGTTCTCACAGGGCAGCTCACGCCTTCCACTTGCTCCTGGTCCTGGCTTCTCGGCTGTCCCCAGTCCTCTTCTACCCCAGGTGTGGCTGCCGGAGCCTCACCCAGAGCTGTGACGTCCCCTCCTCCCAAGCACTGGGTCCAAACTCAGAAGCAATCTAAGAAAGTAGCTTTACCTCCTGCCATTTTCTCCTTCCTTCTCACGGTTAGGCTCAAGGTCATTTCGAAGGATCCCAAGGTCTTGAGGGGTGGTGGAAGGTTTGTGGGGAGCGCGTACCGAGTCCTCCAAAGGAGTGACTGTGGGGCGGTGAGGATGAGTTTAAGGGGACCGCTAGCTCCGGAAACACCCTCATGGAAACTGTTTGCACCCCCCAACCCCCCACCCCCGGCCCTAAAGCTGATGCATCTTCTTGTTGGCTCTTTAGCGCTATCTAGTGTCTTGTTCCTAAACAGCTACCAAGAGGCGGTTTTGTCTTTTGAATGCACTTTCAAAGTTTTGTGGACGCTGACTGTGCGCGACCTCCGCAGCTCTGAAGATGCCACACCAATCAAGCGTGGAATCGGTCCCCATCTACAAGATGGCACGATCTGACACAGAGACGCTGCCCAGTCACAAATGTCCCCTTCTCCCCTTCCTTCAGAGTCCAAGCCTCAGGAGGGTGGACCGGGGTCGCACACAAAGGGCAGTGTGATGGGTTGAGGAAGGTGGGCTTTCCCTAGCATCCTACGACTTCCCTCCGCCGCGAGGTGTTTCCAAGCGCAGCAGCCCCACGCCGCTCCTGCCCACGTCCACCCAAGTCACCTGTGGCGTCTAGACCGCCGAGGCTGCAAAGCTCACAGCCACTACAGTGCGTGAACCGCCGCGGCCAGGCTCCAGCTCTGCCCTGGTGACAGTGGGGCCGACAACCCCCCCCTCCCGCTCCCCGGTGACAGTGGGGCGACCCCGCTGAGAGGTGAGCAAATGCTTGTGGGAGCCGCGAATTCCCCGGTTCACCAACAAAGGTACTTACCCTGAACTAGCGGTGGCTGGGCTAAGATTTGGTGTGTGTGTGTGTGTGTGTGTGTGTGTGTGTGTGTGTGTGTGTGTGTGTGTGTGTGTGTGTTGGTGAATTTCATTGGGCTGCTTATAGAAGCATGGGTGAGGATTTATTTACAAAAATTTTGGTATCTTACCAATTGCCAATAGCCACACTAGGGAAGCCAAAGTCGTTCCCGCTCCCACCTGCCGCTAAGTGCGTATCAATCTTCAGGAGAAATGAGACTTCATAATCCTCTTCCTCTCTGTGGTGGTTTCAAAGAAAACGGCCCCCAAAGAGAGTGGCACTGTTAGGAAGTGTGACCATGCTGAAGTAGGTGTAGCCTTGTTGGAGGAAGTGTGTCACTGTGGGGGCAGGAAGGCTTTGAGGTCTCTTTTGCTCAAGCTTCCCTCGGTGTGACTTTCAGTCAACTTCCTGTCGCCTGCAAGCTGTAGCACTCTCAGATACTCCTCCAGCGCCCCGTCTGCCTGCATGACGCCACGCTCCCACCATGATTATAATAGTTTCTTTTATAAGAATTGCTGTGGTCATGGTGTCTCTTCACAGCAATAGAAACCCTAAGACACCCTCCATGACAAGGTAGTAACAGGTCTGTCCTATTACAGTGTGATAAAGGGTGTGGTCAAAAGCAGTTTAGGGAGGAAAGGTCTTTTGGGCTCACAGGTCCGGATCACCGTCCATCACTGAAGCTCAAGCAGGGCAGAAACCTGAAGGTAGGTGTTGTGGGACATTTTGTTTGTGCTCTGACAAAGCTTGCCTGGAAATCAGAGGGTGGGGCTAGCCATTAGTTAACCATAGAAGCTGGGCGGTGGTGGCTCATGCCTTTAATCCCAGCACTCAGGCGGTGGAGACAGGAAGTGATGAGGTGGGGTGGAGACAGGATCTCAGCCTTTTTAGATGAAGGAAGAAGACAGGTGGGAAGCAGCTGGCAGCTGCTCCTCCAGTCCTCCAGGTTTTTTTCCAAGGTATCTGACTCCTGGTTTTTATTGATTAAGATTAGTTAGATTTATGCTTCAGGTAGGAACTGAAGCTGAAGCCATGGAGGAGTGCTGCTTACTGGCTTAGTATTCATGGTTTGCTCCACCTCCCTTCTTCGGCAATCCAGGACCACCTGCCTAGTGATAGCACTGCCCACAGTGGGCTGGCCCTCCCACGTCAACCATTAAACAAGAAAATGCCACACAGACCTACCTACGGGCCAATCTCACCAAGGCATTTTTTCTCAGGCACTCCCCTCTTCCCAGAGGACTTGTATCAAGTTGACAGAAACCTAACCAGCACACAGTCCTATCTTGTAAAGGTTTTGTATAGATAATCACAGCTGTTGTGAGTTTAAGTGTGCAACGGGCATGTCATGGCTGGGAGTCAGTCATCGCAGCCTCCCCTGTCCCCTCCTCTAGCTCTTACATTTTTTCCCCTCATTTCTATGATGGTCCCTGCTGAGCTGTGGAGTGTGTGATACAGATATTCCACTTATATCTGAGTATTCATCAGTCACTTACTCTCCTCCTTGTGTATTTTATTCTATGTGCATTGGTGTTTTGCTTGCATGTGAGAGCGTCAGATCTCCAGGAACTGGAGTTACAGACAGTTGCAAACTACCATGTGGTTGCTGGGGTTTGAATTCTTGTCCTCTGGAAGAGCAGACAGCGCTCCTAACCACTGAGCCACCTCTCCAGCCCCAACGGCCACTTATTCTCAACACATTGACCGATTATGTCTCGGCAGTCACTGCTGGCTGCTGCAAAAGCAGCTTTTTCAATGAAAGTTGAACCTTTTTCTTAAGCCTCTCCCTCCCCAAATGCTCATGCTTAAATGTATGTAAAAAGTATTTCTTTATAAACTCAGATTTAGCTTTAAAAAAAAAAAGCCATGGAAGAAAATGTAGGGAGAAAAGAACCTAGGAAAAAACACCCTGTCCCTAACTAGACCTGAAACCTGGGCCAAGGAAAAACACTCTGACCTTGACTTGACCCCAGGGCCAGGGCTTGAAATCCCACCAATCCCTGACCTTGTCCCAGAGTCAGGCCACAAAACCCTACCTACCACCAGTGCCATCTATATTAGCCCCATATTTGGGAGTCACTTGCCTCGGACTGATGTCTTCAGGGCTATGATCAGAACCAGCCGAACAACCCCGGGTCCTGCCCTGAGTCGGGGAGTGTGGATGAGGCAAAGCTAGCTATCCAAAGGTTAAAGAAAAGATGGAGACATCTGATCATAACAGGAGGCAATCAGTTAATACTGAGGGTGCCCAGGTTATTGTTGCATCATTTAATTAACCACCCAAAGGTGGGGGCAATGGCAGAGGACATCTATTATCAAGTATAAAGGGCAGATAGCAATGATTTCCATTAATCCTAAAAATACTCCTTTGCAGCAAGTACTCAAGCCTTCAGGCACCTTTACCCCAGCACTAGCCTTCAGGGCGGGTGTAGACTTGCCCTGGCCCAAGTCTATTGTTATTTAGATAGGAGTCATTCTCTACAAAGGCCAGGCTATCCAGCAGCTATTAGCTGACATCTAAAAGACAACAGGAGCCGGTTGTTGGTGGAGCATGCCTTTAATCCCAGCACTCGGGAGGCAGAGGCATGCGGATCTCTGTGAGTTCGAGACCAGCCTGGTCTACAGAGCGAGTTCCAGGACAGCCTCCAAAGCCACAGAGAAACCCTGTCTCGAAAAACCAAAAAAAAAAAAAAAAAAAGACAACAGGAATCTTGGGCTCTCCCGAATTTGTGGCAGAGTGGAATAGATTTCCACTCCAAGCCTCCCTGAAGCTCCCCACCCTTCTCCCCCAAGAAACCCTGTATAAGCTCAGCACCCTGTTCAGTTTGCTGCTGCTTCTCACGCTGGAGGCAGCCGCCCTCTTGCATTCTTCCTTCCCAATAAATCTCTTGAGTGAAGTTTATTGCACAGAGTAACTTTTTTTTTTTTCTTTTTTTTTTTTGCAGAGCCCAACTTTTGCCAGAGCCAGAGCAGAGCAAAACTGTAACACTTTCCCTTAGGGGGCAAAATTGTTACACTGCAGGGGGACCTGAACAGAGCTGTAACACTTTTCCACTGTG